AAGATTTAGTGATAGACGTTGAGTTTAAATGCATATAGGGCTACTACAAATTGTGGAAGAATGTATCAAATATGAGAAAGCTTTGTCACCAAACAAACCAATATTTGTAATTGGAGATTCTCTTGGTGGATGCTTGGCACTTCCGGTGGCAGCTCGCAGTCCAAACAGTGATTTGGTTCTTGTACTAGTAAATCCAGGTATGTGAATGTTTTATCTCAGATTTAAGCTGAGAGAGTACTGGCATTTGAAGTTGTAATATAATTTAGTTTGTTCTTTCAGCAATGTCATGTGCCAAAACTACCGTACAAGCAAAGTTGCCTCTTTTGGAACTAATGCCAAGCAACCTTTCAATTATACATCCGCACCTTCTAAGATGTTTGATTGGTAAATTTCTCAACTAACTATTACATCATTTTTGTAGGTAGACTATAATAGTTAGGATGGAGTGAATATTTTCAACCTTTAAACTTGGTATATCAAATGATATTAAATTTAGAATAGCTTCCTCTTTTTCTCCACCATTGTGGCCTTATAACAGCGTTACCCCATTTACATTTGTATACCAAGTGATCGACCTACCACTCTGGTAGGTTGTTGACCACTTCATACCTCATTGACTAGATCCGAGAAGAACTTCCCCTACTTTCTCTTCATTCTAACTACAAGATTTATTGAGAGATATGAGAGAGAAATCCACCTAAGGAAGATCCGTTCATTCTCTTTCTCTCTCTTGACCAAGCAATCTATTGAAGCAAGTCCCGTGCTTTGCCCATCGATCTTATTACTATTGGAGGTTGGAGACTCCTAGGCAGTAGGAGTCTTCGACGAGGAACCAAATTATGACTTACCTCTGAAGTTTGTAAAGAATTGGAAGCGGCCCAAGGTCTACCACTAGTGGCTGGGGAATTGCCTTTGTGGTGAAATCTCATGGAGAAGAAGTTGGGACTTTGTGGTGTTGGTTTCCTTTGTGAATTCACACCTCTCTTCAATGGTTCATAGCTCCCATTCAAGGAAGTAGACATTGGGATACATTTTCTTCTTTGAGTGTCTTCGGTTATCCCTAGCTCTTCCATTTGTTTATTACTTTGGCCCCTTGAATTTGCAAGCATCATATAGGTTGTTAACTAACCATAACATCGTTACGCTCACTTTATATTAAGCAAAGCCTAAACTTGTTAAGAAAATGAACAAATTTGTAGAGAGATATTCACCTTGTGTAGATCCATCTTGATCCTTTCAGCTTGTTTGTCTAGTCAACTATCATGCTGTCCTAGGTGGTGGATCTAGCTAGCATTTCAATTAAAAGATGTCATAACTAAGGGTTAAACTATGGAAAAAGTTTAAATGGGGTAAATGCGATCACAAGATCACAATTAACTATAAAAAATAGTAATTTAATCTAAATCTTATTGAAAGTGGATGGTTTTGAAGATAACATTACTTCATGCTTGTTCGTTGAGTCCTTAAGAAAGAGCGGGTGCTTATGTTGTAATGAATGTTCTATGTTGTGGATTTACCATGTCACATAGGTTTCAAAATGTTTTCATAAACGGTCATTTGAGTAATCTTCTTTCAAAGTCTTTCTCGAAAATATAAGTAGGGTTACATAGCCATTTGTGAAAAGTTTGCAAGATACATTTCATGATCAAGAAACTATGTATCACATATGGATTTTCCACGAAAACCTAACTGTGATGACTTATTCATTAAAGGTTAATGCATAATAACCATATATGATACTTATCACATGTCTAATGACATAAAACAAAATAAGCATTATTTTTTATAGAACTCTAGAGTGTGCTGATTTATCTTGTTTTAGAGCTAGTTAGAAAAGTACTAGCCATTACCTCTAGAAAATAACATATCAACATCATAAGTGCAGTAGATGCATGCTACTTGTGAGCTACGTTGGGATTTTCCCCGAAGAGGAAGGGTGAAGCAATATAGTAGCAGAGAAGCATTTCCCTTATTGAGAACCAAGGTTATCGAACCGATAGGAGAACCACACAAATCCTCGTACTACACACACAAAAGCAAATACTTGCACCCAACGCAGGCAAGAGGGTTGTCAATCCCCTTGAACTTGTTACTTGCAAGGATTAATACTGATAGTGGTAGATTGATAAAAAAACTAAAAAAATAAAATTGCAGTAAGGTATTTTTTGTTTTTGTAATATGATTAAATTGACCCTGGGGCTATAGTTTTCACTACATGTTTCTCTCTTGAAACAATAACACATGGTGGATAAACAAATTACTGTTGGGAAATTGATAGAAAAGTGCATAGTTATGATGTTACTCATGGCAACGATCACATATATAGGCATCACGTCCATAACAAGTAGATTGACTCCTGCCTGCATCTACTACTATTACTCCACCAGCCGGTCACTATTGAGCATGCATCTATGGTATTAAATTCATGACAAACAGAGTAATGCCTTAAGCACGATGACATGCTGTAGACAAAGTAAACCCAATCAATATGAATAAACCCCATCATTTTACCCTTAATGACAACAATACAGATACGTGCCTCGCTAATCCTTCTGTCACTGGGTGAGGACACTGCAAGATTGAACCCATTACAAAACACCTTTCCCACTGAAGATAAATCAATCTAGTTGGCGAAACCAAACAGATAGATCGGAGAGAAATACAAAGCTACGATAATCATGCATAATAAAGTTAATAAAATACTCAATTACTTTCAATGAATAATATGATCATAAACCCATAATTCATTCTATCCCAACAAACACATCGCAAAAGAAGATTACATCGGTAGAACTCCAGGAAGAATGAGGAGAATATGATATTGAAGATCAAAGAGACAGAAAAAACCATCTAGCTACTAGCTATGGACTCGTAGGTTGGTGGTGAACTACTCACACATCATCGGTAGGGAAGCAAGGTTGATGTAGAAGCCCTCTGTCAGAGTACCGAAAATGGCCTCTAGATGGGATCGTGAAGCTTGCTATAACGAAAAAAGTGTTTCCGGTGGCTCTCTTTCGGTTTGGGAATATTTGAGAATTTATAGAGGTGAAATTAGCTCAAACAAAGTTGTGTGGGAGTCACGAGCTCAGGGGGCGCGCCTACCCCCTGGGGTGTGCCCTCTGAGCTCATGGCCCTCCCGTAAGGCTTCTGGCCTCCTCCCGAACCTTCTAGGGTCCCTTCTAGTCCAGAAAAAAATCACCGTAAAATTTCATCGTGTTTGGACTTTGTTTGGTATCACTGGGCCGGCCCATGCAGTCGGGACCTCATATACTGCGCTTTGCACGCTGCACAAGACGCAATGCGCCTGTTTGGGCCAGCCCATGTCCGGCGGCTTGTTTTTAAATTTTGCTTTTAATTTTCTATTTCTTATTTCCTTTTTATTTTTTTACTTTAAAAAATTTGGGACTTCAAAACAGTTCTTAAAATTAAAAAATCTATTTTTTAAAAAAGTTTAATAAATCATAAAATGTTTGTGGATTTAAAAACTGTTCATGATTTCATAAAAAGTTTGCTTATTCAAACAAAATCCAATTTTTGAAAACAAATGTTTAGGAAATCAAAAAAATGTTCATGATTTTTTAAAAATTTCTTGTATTAAATTTTTTAATGAAATTGAAGAAAATTTCACCAATTGAAAAAATGTTCATGAATGGACAAATATCCTAAAAATTTAAAAACTTTATATGACTTACAAAATAAGGTTCATCCATTCTAGAAATGTTCACTGATTCATTCATAAAATGTTCACTGATTCAAAAAATGATCATGCAATTAAATAATGTTCGCTAAATCAAAAAACTGTTTGTGAATTTCAAAAAAATAACTTTCCACCAATTTCCAAAACAAGGTTCATCCATTCTAGAAATGTTCGCCGATTCAAGAAAATTGTTAAAAAATGTTCATAATCTTTTTTAATAATTATTGCAAATAGTATAACATGTTCATGAATTCAAAAAATATTCCTGATTTCAGAAAATGTTCGAAAATTTGTAAAAGTGTTCATGAATATGAAAAATGTGCATGATTTCAAATATGTTCACGAGTTTAAAAAATGTTCATGATTTCACGAAATTGAGAGTGATAATATATCTCGGTGATGCAACAAAATGTGATCATGAACAATGGTAGTGGTGTCCAACTTCTGAATAATACGAACAACTCAAGTTCCAAACTGGCATCAATCAGCGAGACCGTACTTCTTTTGCCAGTCCTGCTCTTACATAAGGTTCACGCAGAAGATCAAGTTGGTGAGCTAGTCAAATGATATATATATATATATATATATATATATATATATATATATA